TCTTATGACTGTGTGGCCTGCCTCTGCACTACGTATGTAAATTAGCCGTTTTGCTATAATCTGACACATTTACAATTTGTGTACAACTTGTATATGATTGTTCGTTAATGTGTGTTATCCCAATCAAATACATAAATGCATCCAAAAGTAATGCAACTAACTACTTTCTTTTAGAAGTAACTAGTCATTTGTAACTAATTACCTTTTCAAAGTAACTTACGCAACACTGCTTAGGGCTACACAAAAATAAATTGAGCTGAATCCACAACAAGAACCAAAACCACACTGCTCCTCCTGAATCCAACGTTTCACCCTCAGTCGGACCGTCCTCTGCATAAACCTGGATTGAACCTCATTATGATCTTCTTTTTGTCTTTGTTGATTTATGAAGACACATTTTTTTTTGAGGGTTTAAAACATGAATATCCATACCACATTTGAAAACACCATATGCAATAGTTCAGTCAACTGCAGAAATATACAGAATGTTGATAAACCGTAGTAAACTTGTGATGTGACAGGTTTGACAGGCAGGTGACAGCGCAGGACTCGGAGAAGAGGAGAGGACTGGACAGGAATAAGGAAGTGGAAGGGACGTGGCTCGAAGATATGGGGCCAAGTTCTCAGAGTCTGAATCTTTGCTGTAGCTCCATCAAATTGGAAACACACGGCCCGAGCATTGACACTGCTTAATCGCACCAATCCCACTAAAGTAAACGTCTGAACATTTGAAAAGACCTGCTGTGTGAAAATGTCCCATAGAAAGTCCATTTAAGTGCGATCATATTATGAATTCATTTTTATATGCTCTGTCAAGGCAAGTCTATTTGTATAGCACAATTCATACATAGGTGAAACTCCGAAAATAAGAATATTGTTGAAAAGACCATTTTACTTTTGTAATTCAGCTTACAATGTGAAACCATTATATGAAACACTAATATATGCAAAATGAGATACAGTATATCAAGCCTGTATATGCATCACAGCTTGTTAAAAAAACGACTTTAATGGATTGTAAACTAAAATAATCAGTATTATATTGATTACAGAAAACTTTTCAACAATATTTTTTCAGTTCCATCTGTTCAAGGAAACCCAAAGTGCTGTACAAAGAAAATATTAGATCAGATAACTAAGAAAGATCATATATAATCACGGTACATTATTTCTTACAGTACATGAAGAGAGAAAATACAATATTTCAGTCACATTTTCAGGAGAACTGATCCAGGTTATAGCTGCATTATTGTGTCGTGTTTTGTCCTGACACTGGGACCAACAAATATTCCATAAGAAGTTGCATGACTCAGTGGACTGTTTGAACTTATTCCTCTCGCCTCATCTGTTGAATTGTTCTTCTGGAGCCAACTCCGCCATTAGCAAATTACAAATTGTACGGAGCAGTGTACTCTGCAAGTGCTTTTGCTGAAAACTTTCCTCATAAAAAGAAATTATATATTAATGGCTTAATGGCAAAAACAAATACAAAAATAAAAATAAAAACAGGCCCTCTGCTTGTGAATGAAATGTCCTTTTTTAATTTTTGTATGTTTTAGATAGAAATATATGTTGTAATTCTCGGTTTTGCGACAACAGCAATCAAAATGCTAATGTTTGGCCTCAGGTGAAACGTCTCCTGTGCTGATATAACAAGGAAAACAATGTTTCTCAATGCTTTTCTGCAGTCAATACATTTATTTCTCTATTGATCAAATGTCAAAAGCGTTCAGAACTATGACATGCAGCTTTGTTGCTGATGGATTTCATGATTTTATGAGGGGAAAAAAGTAGACAATGTATCACCAGTTTCTCAATTTGAGTCTTATGTCTTTAAATATAAACAATTATTTAATAATCATACATTGATCAATTATTTTAAAAATGTATCTTGGTCACACGCTTGCATCTAAGACCAGTATAATGTTTTAAGTACGGATGCACCAATATCCACTTTTTTCAAAACCGTTTACTCGTCACTTGTTTTCTTTAAAAACTGTCATACCGACATACTGTCCGCTTGCTGCTAAGCTAGCGGCTAAGCTAAGCTGCTGCTTGGTGATCTTACTTTTGAAGATTACCATGTTCACGACAGTGATGCTAAAGTAATTTAAAAATGTGGGTATCGGTTGCACAGCATTGGGTCCTATGGTACAAGTACAACGGGCGGCACGGTGGCTGAGTGGATAGCACTCTCGCCTCTCAGCAAGAAGGTCCTGGGTTCGAATCCCGGTCGGACCAGGGCCTTTCTGAGTGGAGTTTGCATGTTCTCCCCGTGTCTGCGTAGGTTTCCTCCGGGTACTCCGGTTTCCCCTACCACTAAAAATATGTCCAATAGTTCTAGCATGTGCCTCCTGTACTGGCGACCCCGCTCCCATCTCTGTGTGGAGTGAGAGACAAATGCCCAAAAATTAACAATTGTAAACCGCTTTGAGACTCAGTTCTGCAGTGAAAAGGCGGTATATAAATAAATACTTACTTACTTACTTACTTACAACGAGTATAAGGTATAAACCTTATACCAGTGTCCGTATCGGTGCATCCCTTGTTTTAATTGTGTGATTTGTGTTAAAACATGATATACAATCATTACATATAATGACAATACTAGCTGAAGTTAAAGAAGACATAGCATGGAACACTGTTAAAGTAATTTTCTTCTCTCCTTTTTTTGAAATATTATCTTTTCTTGTTTCTAAAATAACAAAAAGACAAACACATGTCTGGGATAAAGAAGTTGCTCTAAAACTGACTAATGAGATGAAGAAAGTTTCTCTGTGGCTGAAAAACTCATGCCTTACTTTAAATTTAGATAAGACTGTTTCGATGTTTTTTACAAATCGTCATAAAATACAAAATTGCCCTGAGATTTTAATTGATGGACAAATCATTACAAATTCAGAGCAGGTAAAATATTTAGGTGTCATATTGGAACCAAATTTAGGCTTTAAAAAGCACATAAAAAAGTTCCATCCATCCATCCATAATGCTCTACCAACTGAGCTACTGTCGCCCAGACATAAAAAAGTTATCAAATACAATAAAATTTAATATGGCACAGTTCAGATACATTCGAAATTCCCTTACAATCGAGGCCTCAGGAGCCTATCTAAATGCAATGATTGTTCCACATTTTCTTTATTGTATGACAAGTGCCCTCAGGCCACTTGAGTCATTATATAAAACGTCTCTAAAGATACATGATAAAAAAAGGCAGACGATTCCATCACTGTCATATCCTTGTAAAATACAAATTAATTAGCTTTGAAAATTTGATAAATCATAACAATCTGTGTCTGATGTATAAGATCCTCCATGACACCGCTGCTCCTCCACTAAAAACGTTCATCTCTTTGGGCTCTGAAACAACAACTCGAGCCACTAGATCTACAGTGCGAGGCGAATGTAGGATACCAAAGCGAAAGACAGCATTTGGAAACTCTGCTTTTTCTTGTGTGGCCGCTCGTCAGTGGAATATGCTGCCTACAGAGCTGATAACAAGCACAAACTTTTACACTTTCTCACGCCTGGCAAAGAAATGGCTCCTGTCAAATCAATCTTGCATCCACATGTAACTGGATGTATGTCTGTATGTGTGTTCTGAGGTCTAAAAGAGTAGACCTGAGTAAATGAAAGGTGTGTATAAGAGTCTGTATCTGATTGTTGTGCATGTGAAGATTTGCTTTTACTATTATGAACTTGATCAATGTAAATGCCATTATCCATGTGTGCATGATGTTTTTATGTTTTTTACTATAACATCAGCCTGCCCAGGGACTACGGGTGGAAATTAGCTCTTGAGCTATAACTTGGTACAATGCATCTCTCCCCTTGGGGTTAATGTTTATTGTACACTGTCCCTGTTTCTCTAAATAAAGAAAATTACAAATTACAAAATTACAAATAAAGCCTGAAAGCCAACCACTACAGAGCCAGCCCAGTCTGATCAGAGAAGTTATTCAGAAGAATTCAATTCAATTTATTCTTGTATTTCCCTCAATCACAATAGTAACTATCTCGGAGGACTTTACAAAACTGTGGACTTCACCAACAGAGATCAGAGAATCAAACCGAATAACTGCAATGATGAATACATATAGCCATTGGTCCACAAGGGCAGATGACCCATCCATCCATCCATTTTCTTCCCCTTAATCCATTTCTGGTTCGGGGGGTGGCAGTCAGTGCTGGCGGTGAGTCCACAGGAGCTGAGATTTTTCTGTGGGGGCTTCAGGCAAAGTGGGGTTTAGTGTCTTGCCCAAGGACACAACGACCACAGACATCAGTGGGAGTCATGAAGTAGGTCTTACGGTGGGCTCAAACCCACGACCTTCAGGCCCAAAGGCCAATGCAGATGACCATTGCCCATAAATGTTGATGAATGTCCATAAATGTTGTTGATTGTTGAGTGTCCTGGATCATCCCTTGTGAGGGGTGACCGACCCTCCTGCATCTGCAAGGAACAACTCTAAAACCCAGTGGGAAAAGGTGAGAAACCTCGTGGAGGTCCACATTGAGAGAGGGATCTGCACCTCACAGACGGACGATCTATAGAGCCAGGATACGGAACGAGGCCCAAAGCCAAAGGAACGAGGACAGACGCAATGCAGGATTGAGGCGGCTCCCAGGCGGGGAGGGGGGGCAGCCAAGAAGAACCAGGGGAGAGCAGGAAACCAGGACGGGAAGAGGAGGGACAAACCACCAGCCACTGTCTCCCAAAACTGAGCCAGGGGTGGCTGATGGGTGGAAAAGCAACATGCCTTCGTTAGAGTCGGGTTGTTATATGCAGCACTTAAGCCAAGAAAGGGTCAAATGCAGAAGTGTATTTCCCATAATAAAGTTAGCATTACCCATCTAAAGGAAGTTGGTTTATCATGGGCTTTATGCAGAGGGTCCAGGTGTCATATCCCATTGGGGTCAGACCTCAGCGTCTACATTTACCAAAGCAAACAGCAGAGAGGAGCGGAGCACTTCAGCTGTCACTCCACATCACTGCATTATCACATCTGCCCACAGACCACTACCAACACACATCATTCAACATTCATACGCACAATGGTGCTGCCATGGAGAGTTCAAATGAGCGAGAGGGACTTGTCTATTACAATGTCTAAATGTTGATTATTTTATTATGCCTGTTGTGTATTACTGAAGAACTTTATTTTTGCTTTTACTAGTTACTTACTTTCAAACCCACATTTTTGTTCTTTCTTAAACAAATGAGTTGGTTACTCTAAAAATCATTGTTGAGGAAGGCATAACATAAAAACAGACAAGTGAGAACTTCAAAGCTTGTTCAAGGTTCAAGTGGTTAGCCATGCATCTAGAATTGAGTGATTGTGGTTAGCTATGTGTCAAGATACCAGCTGCATTCTAATGTGTCAGTAAGAAACACATCTGCAACTGTTGTTTAGATGTTGCGCAGGAAACACTAAATGTTCTGAATGAACATTGTTCCATACTTTTTCTTTTACCAGAATGTACTTTGTATGGAAGTACATTGCCACTCAGATCTATTAATACACCTTTAACTTTTTCACATTTTGTCAGGTTTACAGCAATAAACATAAACCTTACTCATCTGTGCAATATTAACTTTAATTATTGTACAGTCCAACATTGGGGGGGGGGTAAAGGCCCTGTGGTAGCACTCCTTCTTTCCCTGAGGGTGCCTCAGTCTTCCACCAAAAGAGCTTCTCAGCTCCTCTACAGCCCTGTGCAGGTACTTGAAGCTGTCCACCAGCTCAGTGTAGATGGTGAAGAGAAACGGTGAGAGGACAGTGCCCTGAGGGGCCCCAGTACTGCAGACTACCACCTGAGACTCACAGCTGCGCAGCCGCACGTACTGTGGTCGGTCCGAGAGGTAGTCAATGGTCCATGCAGGGAGGTTACTGTCCACTCCCGCGTCCTCCATCTTCCCCTGCAGCAGTGCCAGTCTGATGGTGTTGAGAGCACAGGAAAAGTCAAAAAACATGACCCTCACAGCTACCGGCGGGCTCCAGGTGGGAGAAGTAGATGACAGCGTCCTCTACTCCGATGTTGGGCCTGTAGGCGAACTGCAGCGAGGCCATGATGGGGCTGATCACGGAGCGGAGATGGATGAGGATGGGCCGCTTCATGGTCTTCATCAGGTGGGAGGTCAGTGCGACTGGTCTGTAGTGAGCCGGTTCCTTGGCTGTTTTAGGAACCAGGATCACACATGAGGTCTTCCACAGGACAGGGACCTTCTCCAGGCTGAGGCTGCACAGGTCCTCATCAGCTTGGGATTGATCCTGTCCGGCCCTGTGGGTTTTCTTTGTTTCAGTCGCTTCAACTCTCTCCTCCTCTGGTCCGGTGTGATGGAGGGGGGGAGTGAATAAATGTACAATACAGAACCACATGTGTTACTGTCACATTACTGAGTAACTTTGTCCCTTACCCTCATACTGCTTACATGTACAGATGTATACATACAACTATATATTTCTTGCACTAGAACATACAGTATTTATACTTGCTTCTTTATTATGGTAAAGTCAGTGATTTTGTTCTTTTCACTTTTTCTTCTAAAAAGTGAAAAGTTGGGCCAGTACAAGTTTCAAATTGCATTTAAAACATTTCGAATGACTGCTGAATGTTCACACCTTCAATGATTCAATGGAGATCTCCTGTGTGTAATCTACTCTGAGTATAAATGCAGGTGTTCTGTGAGGCCCTCAGAGCTTTGGTTAGAGTGTTAACTCAGCAGCGTTAACTTATACCAACATTTGCCAAGATTTTAATATCTCTTGGCATTCAAGCCATTTTTCGACAATGGAAAGTTTGCCACCACTGTGAACTTACCAAGACACAGCCGAACTCTGTTACCAAACTAACAGATGGAACAAGGATAGCACTGGTCAGAAAGGCAACTGAAGTACTGAAGTACTGCTGCTGAATCTGTACATGGGACAACTATCAGTTGTACTCTATACAAATCTGGCCTGAATAAGTGGCAAGAAGAAAGCCACAAGAAATCCTGTTTGAAGTTTGACAGAAGTCATATGGGGGACACAGATGAGAACATTTTTTTGGCCCAAACGCAAGACGTTATTTATGACGCAAACCTAACATCATGGTCCTGAGTGCACCATTCTCATATGTTTTTTTAAGGAGGAGTGGGCTAATTCTTCTGTCTCTAGACATGCAAATCTTGCAGAGTCATACCTAAAATACTTTCTCATTTCTGCAAAAGGTGGTTCCACAATTTTTGAGCGGTTTTCCTTTATTTAAAAAAAAAACAAAATCATGTATCATTTTGCTTTCACTTCACAGTTGGCTGTTGTGTGTGAACTTTCGGTAAGAAAAATCCAAATAAAATCTTGATGTTTATGATCGTAAACCTGACAAAATGTGCAAAAGTTCAAGTTGTATTCACACTTTTTAGAGGTTCTGTATGTTTGGCCGAAGTAAGTAAGTAAGTAAGTAAGCTTTATTTATAAAGCTTATTTATATTTCAGAGCAGTGGATAGTATGCCTTTATAGAGAGTGTGTAATCTCGCCTCAGCAGGTAATAAAGGTATGTACCGGCTCCAGCAGGCTGCAGCAGCACCAGTGCACTTCCCCTCTGCACTCTGCACAGGGCCATGTCGGCAGCACGGAGACCCTAGAGAGAGAGCCTCGCTGTGGCTCTGCTCCTCAGCTGAGTGATTAATAACCCGCTGGCCCCTAATCTCTCCATCATCTATCTATGTAAATGCCCTCGGCCCCGGCGCACCAACGCTCTGACTGATGACTGTTCCACTGCACTGAGCGCGCTCAGGCCTAATGCATGTGGGCTGTGGAGGGAGAGCCTCGACACAGACCTGCCGCTGTGTCTGCAGAGATAGTCTAAAATACTAATGCTGATCACATGGAAAAGCAATCATTTTATAACACGTTTATTTCAAGAGCATAATTTTAATAACAAAATTCATTAAGATTATGAGATGTTATGTTTACTTGGATATAGCAACACACTTTCAAATTAGTAGTGCATTCCATAGACAGCATTTTTAAAGTAATGGTGTGGTGTATGTTTTTCTTGCTCTTTTTCTGTTTTACTGACTGTTTCTATTGTATGACTTTTTAATGTTATTATCACCTCTGACTGTACACCTCTCCAAGGACTGCAGATGAATTATAGCCTAAAGTGGGGCAAAACAAGTATTTAGTGAGCCACCAATTTTGCAAGTTCTCTTAAAACGATGAGGGAAGCCTGTCAACATAGGTATACCTCAACAAGAAACAGAATGAGAAAGAAAAATCCAGAAAATCACATGTCTGATTTTTTAAGAAATTATTTGCAAATGATGGAAAATAAGTCATAGGCCAATAACAAAAGTTCATCTCAAAACTTTGTTGTATACCCTTTATTGGATTAGAGCTCAAACATGTTCTGTAAGTCTCCAAAAGCAGATCTTCTCTAGAGCAGTGATGTTTTGGGGCTGTCGCTAGGCAACACAGACCTACACAGCCCTGGCCCCATTCAGTCTTTCCCTTACACGGATCAGTCGTCCTGGACCCTTTGCAGAAATACAGCCCCAAAGAAAAATGTTTCCACCCCCATGCTTCACAGTAGGTATGGTGTTCTTTGGATGCAACTCAGCATTCTTATTCCTCCAAACACAACGTGTTGAGTTTTTACCAAAAAGTTCTATTTTGGTTTCGTCTGAACATATGACTTTCTCCCAATCCTCTTCTGGATGCACAAACTTCAGACGGGCCTGGACCTGTACTGGCTTAAGCAGGGGACACGTCTGGCCCTGCAGGATTTGAGTCCCTGGCGGCGTAGTGTGTCATTGATGGTAAACTTGCGTGGAGCCCCAGATTGAGGGAGATTATCAGTGGTCGTGTATGTCATCCATTTTCCAATAATTTCTCCTACAGTTGATTTCTCCATACCAATCTGGTAATTTATTGCAGGTTCATTCTTCCCAGCCTGGTGCAGGTCTACAATTTTGTTTTTGGTGTCCTTCGACAGCTCTTTAGTCTTGGCCATAGTAGAGTTTTTGAGTGTGACTGTTTGCAGTGTCTCAGTTGGTGGAGCATTGGCCTTTGGGCCTGAAGGTCGTGGTTCAAGCCCACTTAAAGACTCCCACTAATGACTGCTGTCGTTGTGTCCTTGGGCGCTTAACTCAACTTTGCCTGAAGTTGGACTCACCACCTGCAGGAGGATCAGTGAGGGGCTGGTGCTCTGTGTACTGGGAGCAGCTCTGACTGACCCGACCCGACCCGACCCAGAAATGGATTGAGGGGAAGAAATTGGATGGATGGATGTTCGAGGTTGTGGACAGGTATCTTTCATACTAATAACGAGTTTAAACAGGTGCCCTTAATACAGGGAACAAGTGGAGGACAGAGGAGCCTCTTAAAGGAGTTACAGGTCTGTGAGAGCCACAAATCTTGATTGTTTGCAGGCAAACCATAATTTGCAAATACATTCTTTAAAATTCAGTGATTATCTGTATTTCTTTTCTCATTCTGTGGGAGAACTTGCACAACTGGTGACTCAATTCCATTTTGCCCCACTGTACGTGCCTATGTCTGGTGCATTTACAGAGATGTTTATTAATGCAAATACAAATACACTAACAAAATGAACCAAAACAAATAGAAAAGTAAGGTCATAATTGTATCTCTAAATGAAGTCAGGATTAGTATAAAGTAAAGTAAACTTCAATTAAACTGCAAATACTGAAGGTTTCAGTCAGTCACTGATGGCCATTCAGTCTCAGCAGCTTTATTATATAAGTCATAATTTCAAAAACTCTACTTTCAGTGTGCTAGGTCTAAAAATGTGAATGGAATATTTTGTTCACGTATTATATTTTGGTAATGACATAGCATACTTGCAGGACATTACTTTTAAGGATGTGGCGTTTTGAATGCAGTGACATCTATGGAAATCTGAGTAAATATTCCCTCAATCGTTGTGTCCTGATCATTTATAATAAGTGAATATGTAGAATAGTGGATCAAACATCCTGTATGCGTCGTGTTTTTACCGCAAACTCCCACAGGCCATTTCGGGCACAAAGACAGACAGCGAGAGAGTTCTGAAAAGGTCATGGAGCAGCGCCGGCTTAATGCGAGCCTGAGTCCGTCTGATAAGTGCAGACAAAACACAGCCCAAATACCTTGGGGACAATACATGCTTCCGTCTTTAGATTTTGGTCTGAATTTTGATGCACTCTTCAGCCTCATGGCATCAATGTCACTGCGAGCAGCAAAACCCTAACCAGACTAATTGTGGATTTAATGACGAGGGTAAACCTGATGTGATTCGTTAATTATCAAGCCATCTCAATCTTGTAATTGATAATTATAGCTGACTGATTGTTGGCTAATTACAATGCAGCTGAAATGAAAACAGACACATATTGATTAGAAGCAAGATGCCAGGAGAGACCTTTCCCCAACTGCTGCACTGAGAACCGAGGAATAGCATTGTGCATTTACATGTCGGCAAATATTCATCCATCCAGGAGCAAAACTACATGTACAAATGTAAGGGCATGATTCTACAGGCGTGAAAAACCCCTTAGTCTGTGTCTGTTAAAGCTGGAAAACTTAACTTTTGCATTGAGTTTGTCCCAACAGAAAGAGTCTAGTTCGAGTCAGACCACAACATGCTATCATGTTATGCTGTCATTAAATATATCATCTTTTACATACTGACAGCTGATTGGCTGAGTGAGGGTGGAACACTTTTTTCTAGACCAAAGATTTTACAGTGATCAAAATACGTGCATGTGAAAGCTAGTGAAAGAGCAGTTTTGAGATAGAGAGTACCTGGATTCAATACCATTTCTGTTTTTTATCATAGTTGTTAATTTGTGGTTGTAAAGTTAGGTACTCCAGTTTTAACAATTGAGTGAATCTTTAAGCTGGAGCACCTTGCAATTATGATGAAGATTACGACGTCTTATTTTTGTCCAGGACTCCCTTGAAAAAGAGGTTCTTAATCTCAATGGG